AAAAATAGCTTTGAAATAGCTTAAAAATGGCTTTGAACTAGCTAAAAATAGCTGAAAATATCTCCGTCCGCAAAAAAAGGTAGCTATGAAAAAAAGAACTTCAGAAATGCAAAAATTCAGAAAAGTCTGAAATTCAAAAATTGGAGAAAAAAGGAATCTAGAACTCCGAAAAAGAGTCTGAAAATTATGCATCTGTGAAATTAGAAAATTTTTCAAAAATTCAGAAAATTCGAAGAAATCTAAAAATTATTTTAAAAAAATCAGTTTGAAAATCAGAGAAATTCTGAAATTCTAAAATTTTTTAAGAAGTTCAAATTTAGGCGATTTTACATCCTTTTTCAGTTTTTTTTCAGTGATTTTTAGCCATTTTTAGCCTATTTTCAGTCATTTTAAGCCATTTTAAGTCAATTTTAAGCCAATTTTTTAAGGTAACTTTAGGCAGTTTGCAAGTCATTTCCCTGGCATTTTAAACCGATTTCAGGCAATCTTAGGTCATTTTCTGGCTTTTTCAGTCATTGTCAAGCTATTTTCAGTCTACTTCAAGCCATTTTCAGCAGTTTTAAGCTTATTTTAGACTATTTTTTAAGCCATTTTTGAGCAGTTTTGAAGATGCCGTTTTTGATAATTTTCAGTCATAATTTGCCAATTTTAAGTCATTTTCAAATCATTTTTCCGTCATTTCAAGCTATTTAATGCCATTTTCCGCTTCTTTCACGCTTTTTTCCGGCACTTTTAGCCATTTTCAGCTTATTTTCAGCCATTTTGAGCCTATATTAACCAATTTTAGAAACCTCATTCTCATAATAATCGGGAAGAATGGTTTTTGTCTGTTGGGCTCGATCCAGAATGTCCTGTTTCCAGTTGATACGATGAGCAAGGAGAGCGATTCCTGAAAAGAGTGCATTTTCAGCTATTTTAAGCCATTTTCAATCATTTTTTCAGCGATTTTCGGTCATTTTAAGCCAAATTTAGGCCAGTTTGAGCCTATCTAAACCGATTTTAAAGCCAGTTTCAGCGAATTTTCAGCAAAAATTTCAGCCCCAAAAACTCACTTTCAATGCCGCATTCGACGAAATCCGAGACCAACTTCAGTCTTACGGTCATACAAAGTTCGACCAACGGAGCGATATGCGACAAATTGAATTGATTCTCTAACAGCGATGCAATCAGCGATCGGGTCGTTTTGAGGCTCTGTTGGAGGTTGGATCGACTGATATCCGCTGAGACGGGCGGCCATTTGGCAAATTGATTACTGTATTGATTGAGGACCGAGTCGGGAAGGGCTTTGGTGATTAAGGCGTTGAGCACCAGCCACGACGAGACGTTGATCAGTTTGGTTAGCATTTCCTGGAAGAGATAGAGGTCAGATATGGGGTTTTTAAGTCATTTTCAGCCATATTTAGCCAATTTTAAACCATTTTAAGCATAGTTTAAGTCATTATAGGCCAATATTTAGAGTTTCTAGGCCACGAATTGGGGGTATCTAGGCTGAAAAAAGCAATTTTCAAGCCAGTTTCAAGCCATTTTTAGGTCACTTTCAAGCCAATTTTTTGAAATTTCTCGAATTTTCAATATTTTTTAAAAATTTCAGAAAGCAAAAGGGATTTCTAGGTCAATATATGGAGTTTCGTCATTTTCAGACATTAGTACCATAGTCACCATTGTTACCATGGCACCATAGTTACCATAGTTACTATAATTACCATGTAACTTTGCTAGCTATAGTATGGGATATGGGATACTACGGTAACTATGGTACTATGATATGGGATATGGGGTACTATGGTAACTATGGTGACTATGGAATGTAATATGAGGTACTATGGTAACTATGGTAGCTAGGGTACTTGTGGAAATTATGGTGACTATGGTATGTGATATGGGGTACTATGGTAACTATGGTAACTATGGTATGTGATATGGGGTACTATGGTAGCTTTGGTACTGGTGGAAACTACGGTGACTATGGTATGAGAAATGGGATACTATGGTAACTATGGTATGGGATATGGGTTACTATGGTAGCTACTTGTGAAAACTATGGCATTATGGTATGAGAAATGGGGGGGTACGACGAAT